TCGCCGATACCGATTCGGATACCTGTTTTTTGGCATGTGGCAGTTTGGTACCTGCGGTCCCAAAAAGACTCCCAACTTTCCAGTGACTTACACAAACATTTTCCTTCTTTATGCGGGATCATGACAGAAGAATCAACAAAAGAGCTTTATGGTTGGAATTGGCAAAATGATTCTGCTGCTAACACACCCGGGGAACTGTGGTGATAATACACACTACCCAAGCTAATAGACCATAGACTGCAACGGATCTTTGTGAATAAAGTTAGCAGCATATTTTGTTATCAGTATGTTTTGTTGTCTGGAGTTATGTGCAAAGCTAGTTATGATTTCTTCTCGCTAATCCTCAAATTAAATCATATTTATACAATGTAAACAAAGGCCGGTTTCAACTTACCTTTGAAAGAATATTAGGGTGGTGAATATATATTGTGTTAACACTTTATTTATTTATTTTTTTAAATAAAATGCTTTATTTTTTTTATTAAATGTCACAATGTGATTTAATGTGTTGATCTATATTTAAGACAAACCTTTTCTAGTACAATTTATTGTGCGTGGGTGTGTGTGTGCGTGTGTGTGTGAGGGGGTGGGGGGCTGAGTAATTAGTCACTATTTCTGACTTCCTATTTGAAAAGAAATTTCTGCAGCACCCTTATCCAATGGGAAGGTGCATAATATTAATTACTAATGACTAATAAGAATAGCCTCACATCTGGGACCAGCCTCACCTGGCCAGTCATTGAATTGCAGCTTGAGTTATTTCCTATTATGCATATGGAGTGATTGAGGAAGGTTGCAGCATGCTTCAGCCTAAATTATCAGGGCACCTGGCTCGATTCATACAAATAACAGAATTCTGTCATCAGCATTTACCCTAGGGTTAGGAGCAGCTTTTGGAACATCTTATGAATGTGCTAAAAGTTTAGTAAATATAATGGTTGGGATAAATTGTTCCTTTAAGGTTCAATAACAGCTGTACAACATTTCCTTTTGGGGTCAGCTGGGCTTTTAAATGCTAGACCATACCACTAATGTTTATGTAAAGATCTCTGCTCAAACACTGCAAGCATGAAAAGGGCCGTTATAGAAGATGAAGCTCTGGCCTCCCCCAAGCAAGCAGACGTATTGGTGTGTTTTTCCTCTTAATTGCTTTAACTGGTTGTAAATTAGGAAATAATGTTTAAACTGTGGAAAATTAAACCTCCCGCATAAAAAGCAAGCACTATTATACAAAGGAAGGTACCCATTTAGGTAATGGTTCCATGCTAGAATTGGCCATCCTGCCCAATACTGTTCACCGTACATCTCAGTTCATTTGTTTACTGCAGAGTCAGCAGAAAAACAATAGCAAATAATGTGTGGCTTTCTAAATATGGATAAGAGCTCAAGAGTGGAGAAAGGGGGAGGGGAAGGCTACACCAAAACTATTTTTTTTTTTACTAATTTGACAGAGCAGTAGGGATCATCTGTATTTATTGAAATGCTCACTCAAAAGTTTGATATTTGTACTCAAAGTCAATTAACATATACATATAACAAGGCAATGCAATCTATGTCAAAGCAAATGCCTTAAAGCTGGTTGTAATGTGGGGAATATGTGTCAGGTATGTTTACATTCTATGGTATATTCCCACTAGGGGGCATATTGTGTAGATAAAGGTAGAAATTAATGGGAATGATTGATTAAGATGACATGTCATGCACTGTTCTCTGCTGGATGACCTTAGCTCGAGTGCTGAAATCAAAGAAGGCAGATATGGAGAGGTCCCATGAGTGCTCTACAGCAGGAATATCTGTGTGTATGGGTGTGCGCGCCTGTGTGAGACAGGTTGAGGGCTGGCTGGCCAGGAGAGGCCTGTTCATTTCACAGCTGTAGTGGGATTATATGGAGTCGGGGTGGAGGGGGTAAGCCTGGCCCTTTTATCTCATTCAAACATGCTGCTAATTCAGCAGCACGGGGCTGGCACCGCGACTAGCACGCTAATCACCGCATCACTTTCCCCGCAGTGAATAAACCTCCATTCTAATCCCCAATCAACCACACTGACACCCGTTTACACACTCTGACACACGGGAAACCCACAGTGAGAGAGGGAGAGTAGGGAGCAAAGGATAAAACTTGGGGCTGGGGGATGTTACATGACAAATACTGATAAGAAACATGACCAGGTGTGATGAATACCAATGATTACTGATATTCAACTCAAATTATGTGTTGAATTTCGATTAAATTAACAGCTTTATTGAAACTATGAAGTCTTTACTATTTAACTTAATTGAAAATGCTGTGTAGAATTGTAGCTGGTTCGATGCTAATCCTTCTGAGTAGAATGTGTAGGTTTTCCCCCACAAACCGCCCAAAGATTACAAATTCAAGACTTTCAGTGCTAACACATACAGTTAGCAAATACTTGTTTTAGCTTGTTTCAGCAACAGATTAGTGGTAAAGTGTATAAAAATGACCTTAGATCAAATGTTTACATTCTTGTTCATTACATTCTTGTATATTAACCTTTAGAAGTCTCTGCACCGGTGCATGTGCCAAACCCAGAGGCTAAAATAAGTGTGAATGATGCAACCTGGCTCTTGTTTATTATATAATGTCTAGGTTTAAAAAAATATTTTTGCATTTACACATAACTTGCAAGGTAGTTCAAATTAAAATATTAGAAAATGTGGGATCGCATTTAAGTTTCATTTTATATACACCGAATTGACACCATCAGTGGCATCTAGTGGTTAAAAAAGGAATAACCTTAAGAAGTACAAGATTGTGATATGGCTTCTGTTTTCCAAAAGTTCTGAAACACAAAGTGCTTAGAACAGTGTATTAGTTTTTTGGGATTTTCGCTTGTTATTTTAATCCAATTTTCATAGTTTTGAACTTGTGTTTGCATTTTTGTCTCAACACTTTTGATTTTTGTGATAAAACATAAAAAATTGTAATCAAATTGTACTTTTTTTGCACAATTCCAGGTTTGTTGTGGTATTATGGTGTAATGTGAGGAAAAAAATATATTAGTAAAAAAAGAAGCTGGGGATGTACTAAAAAAAACAACATGAAGCATTGCTTCAAAAAATGGTTTTAAAGATAATTCATTACAGAAAATTGTAAATTAGTAAAAAAAAAAACACTCCAAAAGGCCCCAGACTTTTAAGGGCTAAGTGAACCTCTGTGGACCACCATGCAACTTCCAAAGCTGATATTGCCGTATGTTTTTGGAAACTAAATAAAGCAACTCACTTGCTAAGCATTTACTTACTTTACCTGCAGTGCTCACTATTTTACCATTGTTTGTTATATGTGTCTATGAAACATACACTAAATCTTTCGATGTCCTTCAAAATGATCCTGTGTTATTGGTTGATCAACACAGGATAAACTGGTCGCAGCCTCAGATGTCACGCCCACGATTCCTAAAGGTCTGTCTACGCGAGACTAGATCTACGCCAACTGTGTTAAAATAGATGGGCTCATGCTGTGGAGTGTGTGATTAGCGATTTTTTTTTTCTTAAACAACAGCCCATATATTTCACTATAAGTTACACATGAACAAAGAGGGACATTAAAGGCAGACGTGAAGAATGGTGAGATAATTTACTAACATCACAACTAGACGCAAATGTTTGAACATGAGTCTGTTAAAATTATATAACTGCAGGGCACAAACAGATGCAGTGTTTTGTCAGTGATGTGAAAAAGTGATGAGATATTGATATAGCTATCAAAGCCACATTTCAAAACTTGCCTTCTCATCAAATGCTATCTATGATATTAAACACAAGCCTCTTAGGATTGAATGTAGAATTACAGGGAGGGGGAAAGTGTTTCAATGTATGCTTTTTTCCTGCGCACACATCAGATCAATGACAAACGATTTAATGTTTGGTCTGAATGATAGTTTGAAACTAACTTAGGAATATTGATGAAAAAGATTATGTTTATTTCCTTATATTCAGATTTACTGAAGTTACATTACATGTATTTGAACATACAATGCTTTTAGACATTTTTAATACTTTTTGTGTGTCATGCATGGTGATACATCCCATTTATTCTATTGGTTGGTACTCCTGTCAATCATGTTACTCATCTGTCCTGATTGTTGTGTAATGACTCTGATTACACACATGAAACTGAAAGCATGGTTTCACCCATGGTTTGATTTGAGTTCATCATCATTACCTTCCAAACTTAAAGAATCTGTTGGGTTTATTATCATGCACCAATGAATACCATAATCAATGGCTGAATAAACTGCATAAATTGAATGTGCATCTGAATTTTTTTTTTGTTGTAAAGGGTCATGAACCGAGAAACCAAAAAAGTGCTGGATTTTTGTAAAAGCAAAAGTGAAATGTTCTTATTTTTATTAAAAATAGCTTTTTACAGCCAGCAACCAAATGAAACGAGGTACAGATACACATCCCTCGTGGACAATGGTTAGTGCTATACACACGTCTTCACCTTCTATCTAGATAGCAAAAGCAAAGCTTACAAGAAGATGCCGTTTTCCAGGTTCTAAAAAAAACAAGTGGATAACAAGGAGCAAGCCAGTGTTTGGAACAGCATCTCCATTTTTCATCTTCTTTTGACAGCGGATTAATAAAGACTTCTTTTGCTCAAAAATAGCAGGCATAAGCAAAACCAATTCTTTGAGTAAGTCTCTCTGTGTGCCTATGTTTTTTTATTCATTTATTACTTTTTAAATTAATTAATTTATGGCATTTTTACACAAGAAACTCAATTTACAGATAGTGTTTGACTACCAAAACGGACTGTTTTGGTGAGTTATCTGAGCTGATTGTGTGGCTGAATTGTTGTTTTCAGATTCACACAGGCACCCAACACTGTTACTCTCTCTCTCTCTCTCTCTCTTTGTTATTAATGATATAACGCAAACTCTCAATGTATCTATTACAAAATAAAGCATGAACCTACGAGGCACTTGAATAATCAGTGTTCTGGTGTTGCTGAATGCTGAACTAAAGAAACTGTAACTTTCCTGTGGCTAAGTCAGCAGAGCACTGCGCTAGCAACGTAAAAGTCATGGGTTCAAACCCCAGGGAAAGCAAGAGTTAAAGGAATGTGTTTCTAGCCTGAAGTGTAAGTCACTTTGGATAAAAGCACAAATGATCAAATAATTTTTACAATTTTGCATAAATGTAAAAATCGGCCATAAAATGAAACCCGCCATAATCACATGATCCCACACTTGCCATTTTCTCTGTCAGTCTCTTGTTTTCTTCCTTCGTTCTGTCGCAATACTCATTGTTAATTTGTTCCCATGATTTTAACCATCAAACTGTTAAAGGATACAGGAAATGATGAACAGGAAGAAGATTATGCATGTGATGTGTCAAAAATATTTAAGAGTTGCTTTTGTAATCGATTACATTGAATAGTTTGATTAACTGTTTAAGCTCCAGTATAAACTTGAAAGAATCGATGCAAATTATCCAACTCAAGCTTTTTCCGGAGAGCACAGTAACCTTTCATAGGTTTTTATACATACAATAATCATTTACAGATGCACACTCACTGCAGGAGGTCTGAACCCCTGCAGATATAATCATCATTCACTCAATCACTCTGAGTAATGTGTCTCACAGCAGTCGGAATGTTTGTGTATACCTGCATACCTTTATGAATCCTCGCCCATTATTCTTACAAATAGAACCATTCAGAATATGCATAAACTCAACAGCGCATGGAGTGAATATAATCTTCAAGCTTTTTCTCTCCCTTGGGCCCACACTAACATCAGGTGAGTGTCACACTGATTCTATTCTGAATCTTCTGTTAATTGGCAACATTAATGCAAATGGTTCCATTCAGTAGCACTGTAAGAAACTATGCATTTTAATGGTTTTACGGTACGAGACCAAGCCGTTGTTATTAGCATTTTCCAAAGATGTACATATTTGTAAAAAACAAATTGCACCTATCTGCATCAACAATTATGTTCGCACATAAACACATCTACACTTGGAGTCTCTGAATGGTTAATAAGGACCTATGGGAGAATCTTAACCTTCCTTGGGACAGAGTTTTCCATGATCACAATAAACGCTCGTAAACTCTCAGTTTCTCATTTTCGCTCCCCCGTTCCCTGTCTTTCTTCTTCCGTGTGTCTCCACAGTATTGTATCTGCCCCTGGGGTAATTATGGATGAGATGCGGGAATCTGGGTGTATTATTCTGTCTGTAATATACAAACCAAAGGGGAACGCCAATTATTTTTTGCTTCCAGTATTGTGGTTATGCCAATATGTTGGTGATTAAATCAATTACAAGAACAGAAAGGACAGAAAAAAAATAATAATCATTTTAAAATGGCAAAAAAGAGACTACACAATACAACACAAAACAAAACTAACAATGGACGAATAACCTAAATACGATTTGATAATTAATGCAATAAAATACTTTTACCTTTACCTTTTACTGCATTTCAAAACAACAAGCTTCACTTATTTGGTTGCAATTTTTTTGAAGGAGGGGGGGGGGGGGTCGGTATATTGTAATGTTGTTAAGTTCACCTAGATTTCACTATTTTTTTTTATCTGCTTAATGAAAGAAACAAATAAACAGCAATAAAAACAGTCTATGAAGAGTTGTTTTTTATTGTTATGTTTTTAAGCATTTCTCAAAGTAATGTTTTAATGTTAAAAGGCAAATTGTTAAAAGGAAGTGAAGAGCCACATTCAGAAGAAACAGTGCCATTTACAATCAGACAGGACCACACCGCCGGAGATCCTGTCCATGTTGGGATGATGGATGATCTTGAGCGTGGTCTAGGATTTACAATGCATTTGTGGCTGAACCAGAGGGATTTTCAGCCTGAGTAAACACGAAACTTTACTCTTCACAACAAGTGTTTTTTTAAATTGCTAATTGTACAAAAATAATATGCCATTAGTAGCCTCACAACATTAACATTACAATATAGACTCGCATTTGACATGATGTATGACATATAACTTGGTGTCTCAGTTCATAGATGTATATTTTCAGTCCTTTGCACTCAGTTTCAAACAGAATGCAGAACGGCTAAGGGGAGGAGACAAGTGTAAAAAAAAATCAAATGCAGCCTAAAGAACTCTATACATCGACCAGAATTTTCCTGCTACGACAAACCTCAATTTTAAACCGTGGAGGCCAATTGGACACTTAGGTTTTGATGACGTGAGTAGGATCTAAAAAAGATTTTTTTTTTTTTACAAAGAAACAGGAAAAAAAAAATTTGCCACAAATCCTCTCTTTTCATTTTTCTCACACCGGTCACTGTGATCAGCCATCAACAATATAAAGTGCTTGACATCCATTATTTTGTCGATGTGCTCTTTGAATTCTATTCTGTTTCCTCGTTTGGCGCGTCTGTTGTACCGCAAATGCCATCTTCAGGCAGGGAGTATCATTGCATCAATATTTCCTTGAAGAGCACCCTGCTAAGAATCTATCAGAAGATTCGTGCAAATCTCAATCTTTGGTAAAGTCTTTAAAGTGTTTGAAACATGAGGAAGTATTTTTTGTATACAACGTGAGAAAAATGTTTTGTCCAAACTGCTTCAGTTTTTGTTATGTTTACTTTATTAAAAAAACACGTTTAACCATACTACTATGTATAAGACATGTAAACTGCCTTAAACTAAACAAGATAGTCAAAATTTTTTATTCAAAACTTTGAAAACAAACATAAGGAACTTGATTTTGCAATTGTACCCAAAATAGTACAACTTTTCCAGTTATTTATGTATTTGGATTTATATGAATACATTTCCTCTTGTATTAGCTCTGGATATTAAGCTTTTATCTTTGGAAGCATTTCAAATATAGAGCATCACTTTAAACAGACTCTTCAGTGCACACTCGCTTGTGTTCTTTCTTTCTTCACCTGTCCATCTCTGTCCCTTTGTGAGCTCTAGCTGGAAGTCAGGATGGACCTTAAGAAGGCTGAGCAGGAGCATGACAGTTAGTGCCCATAAACATCTGCCACAATTCCTTACTCTCAACCTCTTCCATCCTTTCCTCCTCAGACACCATAAAACCTCTCCATTCGTCTCATTTAACCCTCTCAGCGAAGCACTTCTCTCAAGCTCATTGAACAGTTTATCCTGTTAAATAAGAAGCGAGACAGTGACTGTGTATAGATGCATGTTCGTTCAAGGTGCATCTCAATCATGTCTCAAGCTCTCTACCCGGAATTCCTCTTTTAAATAACAGAATGCAGCCAGAACCCTGAAATTACATCTCTGTAAAACGTTCCCTTGAGCACATGTGTATTGAGGTCCTTGAGCAGCTCGAAATTGATCATTCAATAGCTGAGAGAGGTTTTGATTGATTAACCTTGATCATACATTGTTATGATTATGCTTAAATCAATTTTAAATATAACAGGAGGCCATTTAGAATAAATTTGATCTAGCAAATATACAATATATATATATTTGTTTTTTTTTACAAATTTCTACAAGGACTTTTTGATTAGAGAAAACATCTCCCTATTATGCTTCCCAAATGCCACATACATGGCCTACTCCTTCCCAATCTAGGGAGAGCACTGAAGTACCCCTACCCAATGCGACTCAATTTGCAATAATTTTGGAAAGAAAAGGAGATATGAGCAGCAACAAAACGATGTGTGAGGAAAGCAAAGCAGCGTGGTAAGAGTTAAAGCTTGTGGTCAGCAGCACCACGGGCATCATAAATCAGATTTCCCACAATCCCTGTGGAGGAGCCCTGCGCTCGGCCTGCCGCAGACACGCTCGGTGGGGCGCAGCACATCGATTGGCGACGCCACTGTGATGATGAGTGCTGCGGGGTGTGTGTGTGTTTGTGAGGAAGAGAAGGGTGGAGGTGAGGTCCACTTGCTCATGAAGAAGTCTACCTCAGCACCTGCTCGAAAAACAGCGAGTTGGACCTGAGTGAATGTGCCGACTCTGGGCCTATTTCCTTTCAGATCAGCATTCACCTTCTGTCTCTCAGAGCACACATTCAGGGGAAAACAAACAATAGCATGCTGACACACACACCCCCCTGGTGAGGTATATTTACATATTCATCACAAACACAGGTGAGGGGCTTAACAGTTGCCTGTAACACGAGTGCTCTGCTCACTAATTACCCTCATTTATTTTAGAATATCTGTAGTTTGTTCTACTTTGTGAAAAGACTAAATTAAATGAGCCAGATATCTATATAATATTACCTTTGCCTTGTTTAAAAAATATAGTTTTTTATTTCACATCAATTCATTTAATAAGGGCAAAAAATCCCAATTCAAAAGTTGAAAGCGGTCGCTAAAAGTTATTATAAAAGCACCGCCTTTTAATCCTGAAGAAAACTGATTTATTTTAGAGCCTGTAGCTTTAAAATGATCCTGAAGTATTGCTCATCAATTGGAAGTTTTTCACTGCATCAGTGAGTCTGAATATTATATATTTTTTTTAATGATCTGCTTAGAAGTGACTTGCTTTTTGTCATTCCAGATGCTTGTGTAAATCACAATTTCCCATGATGCATCACTTTAAAATAGAGAAAATTAAACCAAAATAGCAGACGTCTCATACTGGTTCAGGTTTATGCTATTTTGTTTTACCTGTCACACCTCAAGGGCTGGTTTTGTAATAAAGTTTGCTCCTTTGTGAGATTTAACTTCCCTCACTAACTTTGAGCCTACTTTATAAACATAAATTCAGATTTTATGTGTCATATACATATACAAAGTACGACTTGCAGTCCAACAAAATAAAACCATACATTGTCAAATAACAACATAGAATATATTAAATTACACAATAAGTCCACGACAATTTTAATCATTTAAAAATACAATTTTTGTCATTTTTTCACAGCAAAAATCTGAAAAATTAACAACAAATGTTTTATGACGAAAATCAAGTATTGAGGAAAAAACCTAAATTCATAATTTGGGCAAAGGGCAAAAAATGTGAAAATTTGACCCCCCAAAAAACCATTCGTGAACCACTCGTAAACCTTGTACACTGTTATTGTGCCAGAACTTTGAAAAACACAAACCATCTCACAGGTCTTTCTTAAGATTTATCCCTTC